CAGACGGGCTGCCACCCACCCTGTGCTGCTGCCTTCAAGTTGTGACCCCTTGAGGACAGGGGTGCTGCTGCAAAGCAGCCTCTGCCCGTGGTGGGCCCAGGCTTGTCATGAAAAGAGGGTTCATGGGATGTGGAGCAGCCTCTCTCTGCAGGATGCTCAGGCCTGCCTCAGAGGCCGCTTCATGGCAGCTTCCCCTGCTCCCCTCCCCCTCATTGCTGCCTGTAGTAGCTGCGACCCAGCGTTTGAAAACCCCTGGTTTAATATATACTCTTCTGCAGCTAAAATGTTGCACATTTGGAATATGGTTAGAGAAAAGTTTGCTGGGCTGCCCTTCAATGCCATTAAACAATACTCTTTTTCCACCCAAGTTCTCTGTATTTTGCACAACAGGAGCACTCATTTGCATTGTGGGGCATAATGATTTTTCTAAGCACTGTTAATAAATGTTTCAGTTTCCTGAATTTTACTTACCTCTTCAGTGTGGCACTCCTGATCACATCACCTATCAGCTGCCCCTCTCTGTCCCCTCCACCCCCGCTCTCAAGGTGATTACATTAGAGCAATGGTTTTAAATCTTTCTTCATTTGTGGCCCCTTAAAATTTCTGAATGAAGATGCACTCAATCTGTGGTTTTCCAAAGAGTCTGTGGACTACCGGTTGAAAATCAACGTAGCAGAGTATGTATAAGCATTGTCCTTAAGAGTTATATTCATATTTCTGTATTTATTATCCATTCTCCTCAAGGAGAAATATAACACGACTTGATAAGTCTTTGAAGTGGTGAAATGTTTTGAGGTGTTTGTAGTGAATCACAACATTTCAGACATGAAAGCTTTGCACAGAAGATGTAAAAATAACATAGTGCAACTCCAAGATGTTTCCAATGAGCGAGTGAAGCCTGCCATTTTCTCTATATAGATAACTGAAAGACTGCCTTAAGCTGTGCATATGTTATTTGTGGCAACCTGCTGAGACTGTTACAAAGATAAGACAGCAGGGTAAAATTAGATGAAAACACTCTGAACTGCATTTTATGTAAATGAATGCATTTTTACAATTCAAATTGTGATTTTGTTCTGTATTCACTTTGGGGATTTTTATGTATTCTACAACTGTAGTTCTAGAAGTATTTCCTCGGGAGGGCCAGCACATGTCAACACGTATCAGCTAACTTGTTCAGAACAGCAGTTTCTGCAGGAGACAGCTGTAGTAGTTGTACTAATATTTTTCTCTCCTGGACAGAAGTTATGTAATTGTGCAATCACTGCACACTCTTCCCCTAGAGAAGACTCTTTCCTTTGTTGGTGCCCTCCATCACTCACCTTTTTCAAACAAACACTGAAGAGTGATTAGCAAAGTGGATCTGTTCTCTCAGGACTGGACCAGTAGCTTCATTACTGGTCCTGCTCCCTCCATGAATCTTTTAAATGATCCTCTCAGACTATCAGCATAATCTATATGTTCAGTAGTGGGCATAATACGAGTACAATGAGGCCAATATGTAAAAGCCAAACGCAGGTTGCTTGTCCGCTAAACAGAGTAGCTTGCTCGATGGAGCTGGAACTTGAAGTCCTGTATTTGTCAACAAAACAAGCAGCGTATTATTAATGACAAGATTCCCTATGCTCCCATGCCAGTATTCTTCTTGGATAATAGGTTTGTCGTCATTAGGCCTATTACGCCCTTAGCTTTTTTCTTGATACTGCTAACAAGGATTCTTATTGTCATTTGCCACCAAGGAACTGGACTGATTGAGTGTAGACCATGCCATAAAGTTTAATTCTTCTGCCCATCATCATAGCATCTGAGTACATGATACATAAAATAAGTAACAATAGTGAAGGCCTTATTGGACTTCATGGAGGCTGAAGTCTTTTGCATGTTTCTTTCTGCTATCAAAATTCTGCTTTGCAAGTTTTTTTTTGGGGGGGGGGATAATTGTTTCTTTGTTGCAGGGGAAGAAGAGCTTGTTAAGGAGTTAGGAACAGAAGGAGCTTTAATATCAGTTTTGGTAGAAAGGCTTTATCCAAGACAAAGGTTTTGCAACATTTCTTAAGGATAGTGAGACAGGATTCATGTGGCATCTTATGGAAGATTTTTAATTGAGTCCTTACAACAATACTTAACAAATACAACAGACATCCAAGTAATGTTTCAATCCTTTAAACTAATTCCTCCCACTTCTCAAGAATCTCAATTACAATATGTGGCTTCTGACAAATAGTTACATATGTACAAAACTAGAATCAAGTGAGTAGTTTCCCAATTGGATTAGGCTTGTGCATGTTTATAGGAGTGGGGTTTCAGACCCATTTGGAACTTCTTGGGAAGATCTCTGTCTGCACTAATGAAGACTTTAGATGACAGTATAGTACATATTGGTGGCAAAATGAAAACAGTATCATAAACAACAGAACCCAACTCAAAGCTCCCCTCCACGGCATTCACACACACAAAACAGTTTCATTACAAATAAGGCCCCGCAAAATGGCCTATGTGTATTTGATCCTCCATTTTAATTATGTTTAAACAATGTATTATTTAAATAATCTTAAAGATTTATTCAAACACCTACACCCCCCAAGGGTGCATTTTATACACAAGTCTCAGCATCACTGAAAATGAAAGAATTCTTCCCAAACACTGTTCAATGAAACCCTTTCACAGAACCCCTACCTAGCAATGCCCCTCTGTAACCCCCCCCCACCCTCACGGGACTGCTCGTCTTTTGGCCCCCCACAAAACACTCTCTATCAGTCAACTCCCTAAACAGCTTTGCACCTCCCAACCATCCCTCTGGCAACAGCTCCCCTCCCCTGCTCTTGTGCCCCACCCCCGCAGACAGCCCCAAATCACCCCTTCTGTGCCACAATCCCTGACACAGCCCCCCGCGCCAACC